ATGTTTTCTCTGTAACAAAAATCTACATAAAAATTTTTTAAATGCCCTGGATTTCGAAAATAGAATTAAATGTTGTTTTATTTATGTGAAATGATAACAATAACAAATAGTCAAAACGTTTCCAGATTTATCACTAAGATCACAGAACAGGAAAGAAGACAGATATGAACAGAACGGACGAAGGAAATTAAATTCTGTAGTATTCATTGTACACTTCGGAAAATTTCTGAAAGAATATATAACATGTTCACAGTATTCTGCTTAGAGTTGATGTAATCCGATGTGCGATTCCAAGATATTTACATAAATGTTTCTTGTAGAAACGAGAATTGCCGTAGTGTGATTAAAGCTACATATTTTCCAATCCATAATTAACATTGCTTCTTGATGTATTCACAGCGAAAATTAATTATATGCTTTATACGTTAATATGTCTTCTATAAGTTATCTTTTAAAAATGATATCTTTTCTACAAATGTGTAAACTACATGACTGAATAATTTCCATATCCAAAACGATATTTTGGAAATATTGACACTTCAATCATAACACAAATCTGCTGTATGAGACGTCAATTAATATCACTTTCTAGATGACCGAATCAGAATACTAACTATAATTTTCCGATACCGCATATACAACTTCCTCTGCAGTCTACTGTCCTTAACTTTGACTAAAGATGTGTTCTAATTGTGACGAACAACCTTCAGTTACTGAAGCCTAACTCATATCGATCCGCCAGACATGATCCTAAAGGCGAATGCGCCAACCAATCTTTTATTCCAATTATTCCAACTACAAATTAGTATTATGCAGGTATATTGGGCTATATTACATCACGAAATAGAAAACCATAGTTATGCACAAGTAAGTCGAAAGTGGCAATGATAAAGCGTGAGCTATAAGCAACCAATTAGCAATCGGTGTAGCATAATTAAATATTCAGTGATAGTTAATTGGTCAAATGGAGGCTTGCAGTAAACGGAACACAGAAATATAATAATCCAATTATTTTTCAGTCATACAATAAGAATGAATGTAATAACGATTCATGAAATAATTTAATGAATTCCCTCATCTACAATGCTCGTTTCGTTGCATCATAATCTGTCTATCAGATTAAAACACATATTTCATCAGTCAAACTACTTTCTTGAATATTAACATCCTACTTGAATATTTCTAACGTGCAAGACAAATTGAGAATCAAAGGATGAATAGATTTTCCCAAGTGTAACACTAAATCACTTAACTCTAATTTGAGATTAAAGAATATCATGTTTCTTTTCCTTGTAAATATAGTGTTTTTTTTTCTTTTGTTTAAACAAGTATTTTTTGTTTGTTGGAATTTAATAAGTTAAACCATTGAAGTAAAAGGATGGATTCATCTTGGAAGTTTCACATCTTTTAGGAAGATACAGCAAACGATAAATAATTTAGATTGTTTTAACTTATCAATAAATATTATTTTATAATTTTCATTTAGAATTAAAAAATAGCTCATAAAATTTGTTGTTTAAGTAGACAAAATATTTCCATTTTTAAAAAAATAGTAAAAAAAAACAACAAAATATATCAACTAGGAGAAGAAAAATAAAAATTAAATTAATAATCATTTTTATAGAGTTGAAATCATGAGTCAGTTGAAGCTAGACTACCATAGAGAATCTGGAAGCACAGGACGGCCGTTTCGTCCTATTGTGCGCACTTCTGAGGAGTCCCATAATAGGACGAAACGGCCGTCCTGTGCTTCCAGGTTCTCCATGGCGGTTTAGCTTCAACCGACTGATGATCTCAACTCTATAAAATTACTAAAATCTTCACAAAACCCCTTCTGATAATCATTTTTTGTTTAGAACCTGACAATTCAGGATTCCATGTCTAATAGGCTTCGAAGAGAGTATTGCCTTGGAGTTCTCCGCTACAATGAAACGGTTATTTATAATCATTTATAATTTAGGAAGATTTCTACAAAACTCCGTAATCTAAAATATGTATTTTAAATAAAATTTAATTTCCAACAATCTTAAACAACTTTATTTATTCTAAACTAAATCAAGTAATACTGGGGATTTATGGAGATTGTAGTTATTTTAACAGTTAAATTCATGAATCGATCTAAGCTGGACCACTCTAACTAGGACGAAACAATCGTCCAGTGCTTTCAGAATATTTGACTACATAAAAATAACAATATGATAAAAGCAGTCTAAATGTTTTTAGTTCAGTTTTTTAAATCTTCACATCTATACTGATCACATTGATAGTTGAACTTATTACAACTTGTTATAACCATTAAATTAAAACTGATTCCATTTGTTGATGATTAAATAAATTCAATATATTAAGTATTTTGAATTCATTAAAAATACGTTAAAATGTATAAACTAATAGTGTATGGAGTACTTGTTGAATCATTCATATAATGCAAGACAATTTAAATCAATATTACTAAACCTATATGACATACTATTTCATGTTGAATGTTATCCATAACAAGTATAAAATAAATAGATTTTTAATTAATTAATGTTTTCAAAGTTTATTTGTAATTCATATATTCTTAGGAAATAAATAGTAACTGTTTTTATGATTTAAAATTTGTAATATAATTTGTTACAACACAATTATATGAACAGAATAAATATAGTTGACATGGGGGTGAGATAGAACGATGGGATTACAAATCAGAAATTACGTAAGATGTAGAATAATATGAATTAGGTCAGATATAATAGATAGGGGTGGATGCTGAATAAATTTCTCTAAAAGGTTAGCAAGTGTGATAATGATAATAATAATGACTAGTGAAATGCTAAGACTGAAGCTACGAATATCAATCCAAAGGACTTTTAATGCAGGTAAAATACACCTAATGTTTTCCACACGTCCAATGATCACACCGATGTTGAAAGTTAAATTACCTAGACTAGCCACTTCTTTCTGTATCTATCAATTCAACTGCTCCTGTGGGACAAGTTATATAGGCAGATGTTCTAGGAATTTGAATATTCGGGCTCGTGAGCACCTCCCAGTGTGGTTAAGCAAAGGTGTAGTCGAAACGGTTAACCGCTCCATTTAAGCGCATTTAGTTCAGACGGGACATAGAGACAACATGGAGCAATCTTTCACAATAATATATCATGTTAACAGCAGTCTACCTAATTACGTCAGACTGAGAATCTTGCAGACGGCTCAGGCAATTGATATTTGGATAAAAAAGCCAGAGCTTTGCATCCAAAAGAATTATGTCCAGCCGCTCCTTTTACCCTGGCCAACTTCAGGGTTAACTTGTTAATAATCAATTTTATAATATGGTCACATTAATTTGATTAATGTTCATTTTTATATCATAAACTTATTTTATCTACACATCTTACCAGTCATTATTATTATTACTATTATTATTACTATTATTACTATTATTATCGTCATGACACTTGCTAACATTTTAGAGAAATTTATTCAGCATCTACCCCTATTTACTATGTCTGACCTAATTCACATTACTCTACATATTACGTGATTTCTGATGTCTAATCCCATTATCCTCTCTCAACGCATGTCAACTATATTTATTCTGATCATTTATCTTACGATTTTATTTCACTAATAAACTGATTCAAGTTAACACTTCATATTAGTCAGCTCCAACATAAACGATTCGATTTTATTTTATATAACAAACAACACTCCTTGATTTACATGTTACAGTTTCTAAAATGATGTACTCTGTTTTAAACTTGGCCAATTTCTTTTTATGGATTATTAATTTGGATTTGATCATTGTAGAACCTGATGAGAAATTATTGAAAAGAATATTCTTCGTTCTTCATATAATTGTGTTTGAATATGATGGGAATTTTTCTTCGAATGTGATTTGTATTTATATTGAAAAGAATAAATGATCAAACTAAATCGGTTTTAATATTCAGCTAAGCAATTAAATACTATTCAGCTAAAATAAGCACTCAGTAAATAATTCGATTTTATCTAGTACTCTATAAACATCTTAGTGTTTACTTGTATTCTATATGGTAATTGCTTAGAATCAATATGTCAATAATTAGTGAAATGAAGTTTACTTCTATTTTCCCATGCCCAACTTTGTAAGTCTCACTAAAATAATGTTAACTGGAAATTTCAACTATCGGGAAATTTAATTTTTAATTTACTTACAAATATGGTAAGACATACATATTTGTGTCAGCGTAAAAAAAATATATGATTATATATATACACCTTGAAATGATCAAAAGATCCATTTTCTAATCAGAGATAAAAACAGACTGATCAACTATTTCCTCATCCATTTTTATATACTCCACACTAGTTAGATAATAATTAATTATGTCTTTTCATGTTACATTCATATGGCAAAGTGATATATGTAGTTTAATAATCGTGGTAAAATAGATGTAAAATTGTCAGATATTCATCTTCGTAAATTTAAATTTGTTTAAGTCATGTAATGGAGTGCTAGTTATGGTCTAGCAAGATGCCCCTAAATGTTATTGATCTATTTGCATTTATCCAGTTTCATAATCACTCTTGACATAAGTACTTGTATAACCAAAATGTTTGAATTCAGGTCTGATTTAGTTATATTCTGATGCCATACAGGCTCTCTAGATAAATGTTGCCATAGTATTTATATTTTTTATATATGTTAAATTGTGATCTATCTACACAGGGTTTAAACTAAATTAACTGTTCTTAAATATAAAGTGCCTTAGAATGAGTTTCAATGTTAAAGCACAGGTACAACAGCATACCAAATGATAAAATAATGACTTAAAAAGAGTTCAAATAACAAAAAATAACAAATTATTTATCAGTTGTCAAGTTTAGTTAGTTAATAAGACAGCAAACAAACGTGGTAGATAATTTACGACGGCTCTTCCTTCGACTTGATAAACACTGAGAACAGGATATACTGGATATGTCAAATGCTTAGATTGTATACTGTTGTTTTCAACAATGTTACAAATATTACTTACATTGCCATTTCGATCCGCTTGATTACTATTATTACCATCATTCCCAATAGGTCGACTATCAGCATACTGATTCTTTGTCTTAAATTCATTATTTATATTATGAACATTTATATCCGTCGTACCAAATCGTCCCTTTAATTCATCAGCTAACATTTCTGTAGTTGCTTTCTCGTGCTAAAAAAATGAGGTAGAAAAAAGTTGGATACAAAGAAATCATGATACATTTAGACAGATTCTGTAAGCAGTCTTAAAACCGACTTTAGTTTAGTTAAGTGTTTATTATTGATTTAATGTTTGAAGACGGAACTCCTAATCTCTTCCACTCATCTTTCTCGTATCCTCATTGAAAGTAAGAGCTTAGTATATCTTGTCCCACAGGAATAGAAAGTTGTTTTAAAAAATGTTAATTTTGGAATATAATAAACAAATTAACAAGTTGCCAAGCATAAGTATATGTCGGTCTTATTCTGGGTGTGACTATAAAAAACTTATCAGATGATTTAAATATGAACATTTAAACTGATGCCTAACACTTTCGTGTACCAGATTTAGATGATAATTAACCATGAGCAATATAGTTATGTACTTATTTTTCTATTTAAGAATTATTATAGATGAAGTTCGATTAGAATTTGAACTGTTGTGTCATAGTACATTCGGTTTACCAAATAAAGTCTTCTCTGATAAATAATAGGTGTACTTTTTAAATGTGCTTACTAACGTGACAGTTTTACTCTATTTTATGGTATTTGAAAATTATTCAGATAATCAAGATTGGATTTCGAATTGTTAACTGTCAGCAGTCTAGCTGTTTCATGCAGATTGTGAGACCTGTATTTTTCTGTATGGCCATGGGTAAGCAGGTTTTATACGATGTTTTGTAAAATGCATTTATTAAAACAAATAATTTGAGAACATTTTCTCATTAACATTTAAATCCCTCATAAGTATTAATACCATGTTTTATATTTCTTTTTAGGCTATTTTTCCATTTTATGTAAAGAGTACATATTTATGTATCATGTTTTTGGCTATTATCATTATTATTATTATTATTACTATTAGCTTTATTCAATATTATATTTTTGTTTCAATATAGAATTCTCAGCGCGAAGCATTTCAACAAGTTTTCGTTTCTTATTTATCGATTGATCCTGATGATAAATATTGAGTGATCATCAATTAAATCTTAGCAGTTCCGAAATCGAAATCTGAACAATGAACATTCTTTTCGATGTATATTGCTAGCAACCACAACGTCTCTGATTGTGCTTTTTCCCGACTTCTACTCATTGGGATATTACAAATACATTATTTATTTATACAACAAAAGATCATGAACTTTTCACAAACGCACCTGAATAGGCTGTGCAATTAATTGACATAATGATCTGTTAAAACACAAAAAATAGGTACCTTGTTGAAATATCTAGATGGCAGAAACAGGTAGCCCAGATATTCAAGTGGAGTCAACGACAGTTTCTACTATCTCAAACTGAATTAAGTAAAGTGGAATTCTAACATGTTGTCAACTTTTTGAAAATCAAGTTCTTTTAAATATTGTGTTACTTTTCCATGTGTATTTCTTTCACATTGTATACTTTTAGAATTTAAATACATATCGTTTACATAATTTTTCTATACTTACTTGAATTAATTTTATCTCATTGTTGATAGCATCCAACTGATTTTTTAACATGTACGCTAAAGATTGTGGATCTGTAGTTGAGTCAGTCGCACTTTCTTGAACATTATGCAAAGATGTAGCGTTTGGTAGTTGTTTCATTTTCATAAAATTGAATACATCATTTAGGGACAATTGATTAACAGTATCATGATTTAACTGTAAAGATGGATAATTGAAATTCATTAGATTTTGTCGAGTTAACATTTCTTGCAATTCATTCGACTGGTAAAGTGTATTCATATTATTATTGTTATTATTATCATTATTAGTATTGGGAAGTGATTGAATATTGTTTAATTCACCATCAAGATTAATTTCTATTGGTTGATCCTTATGGATTGAGATGTAAGAAAAAAAACAAATTTAAAGATCAATAATCAATTTATCGTTTGTATATATAATCTGTAAATCCCAAGAAATATGTATTATTGTTCTCTGATAACACGAAAATCAATCCACTAATGTTAGGTGAACAAAAGAATTCATCTGTAAAAATGGACATTATTTTCATAGTTTTGTGTATTTTCCAACAAGATGACCTGTCACTACAAAATGATGTTTATTTCTTGGTGATACGAACGTCTACGGTTACTTAAACTTAAAGTACACTTATTATTTCCTTAGTTGAGTCGTTTTTGAATATAATTTTGTTTCCACTTTAGTTTTCTTTTGGTAGACTATATTCCTTGAATAACCATTGAAAACTAGGAGGAAATAAATATCTGTTTAACATAGCTATGTAGGAATTTCATCAGTGCACATGGAAAACACCGCATAAGAAATACTAAAACATCTTACAGTCTTGTTTCGAACTTATTTTCTTTAAATCAATGAGTCGGAATCTATCAGTTCACATATCCAACCTCAGTCAGTTTGTGACTGTCAATGACATCTAATTCTGGGGAACTAAAAACACCAACACTTTTTCGGTTTCTAATATTTTTATACTATCAGCAAATGTCGTGTTTTTATTGTCAAAAAGACCGTTGAATATGCAGGAAGCATGTTTGTGGGAAATACGATTTATCTTCCTTTTTGAATTTAGATTCGTTTTGACATTTCAATAAACAACTTACTTTTTATGATGACATGTTGTATAATTGCAAGTCTATAACTAAACGTTATTTTCATTTTGTATTGTTTGTTTGAATCATCCCATTGATGTTTATAACTGCAATTGATCAGTCTTTTATTGACATATGTGCATCCTCTACGGATCGCTTCGATATTGTCTTAAATCATAATACAAAATAAATTAAAACTCCACCACATTGCACAAGCCAGTGGCTATCAGGACTCAGTAGCTAAGTGGATAACGTGATGGTGTTTGATACGAACGGTACTTGGTTCGAGTGCCGAAGTGAACATTAACTCGAGTGAAATTACATCCAGTTGGTGGGTCCAAAAATTGAGAAACGCGCCTTCTGGTTCCCACCTCTAGCCACCATCCATCTTTGCTCATAAACGTTATTTATTTTAATTATCACATGTGTTTATTACTATTTGGTGCGTTCCGGAAGAATCTATTTGAATTATTTTGCAGGACAGGTTATACACATACGCTTCCTTATTAATTGAAGGCTTCACGAAGATGCATTTAAATGTATTTGAAGAGTTGACTAGGATTATTTTACTTATGTAAAGAAATTAGATTATATGTACCAATGCTATATTTTAAAAATCTTATACTGTATCTGTATAACTCAGAGCTCTAAATCGATTGAAAAAAACATTTTCGCTTAAGACTGTGAAGACACAAGTGCATGATTACTGTCACAAATTAGCTCCAATTGGTTTGCTATCAGAAAAACACTACAGGAGGCTTTGTTGGATTAGGAATATGAGTGCGAATCACACAAACCTACAGTTTGATCTAAGTTTGTATTAGCAGAAACATCAACAAGACATTTTCTTTTCAGAAAATGCCCTTTTTGAATTGATTATAAAAGTCTTTAACTCCTTCTCTGTAAGGTAGATTTATTAAATTGACATAAAACGCAAGAATATTTCTTACAATCCAAATATTTACCCAGGACATTTTAATCCATCAGACGTCTTGTAAAAAATCTACATTTTTCCAAAAGTAAAAATTGCAAAATATCCTTTACCAGCCTGTAAATTGTAATTAGTCTTTTCTAGGGTAATCAATTAAATCATAGGGTGTTTAGGAATTATTACGTTACTCAAGCTGATTAGTTTTACAAAATTTGTCAATTCATTTTATATGGTCATTCTCTTTCACATGCTTATATACATTATAAATATGTCCTCTCTAATTTGTATCATTTAGGCTAGATAAAGTCTGTTTTAATTCAAAAGGAGTCATGGTTATGCTTGAGTCAATAAATTTATCTTGCTGATAATTGACTACATGTATAAATAATAAGTGTATACACTAATTTCCGATCATTATAGATATATATTGTAAAGCCTATATCATTATTTTACCAATATATTAAAATAACTTGGACAGCTAAACACCTACCGAATTATTATTAGCTTGTGAATGGATCCAGGTATTAGTGATCAATCTTGAAATGAAATCTATTGGACTACTTTGCTCAGTTTCATATTTTTCCACTACACTTGAAGGACATACTATAATAAAAATAAAGAATAAATATTGAAATTAAATTATATAGAAATGAAATTATAGGACAACTTATAAGCGAACAATAGCATTGGTAACTAGATTATCAAGCGTTAGTTTAATACATACAATAAAGACGATAACAACAAGGAAGTAAGGTACACAACTAATCATAATAAACGAAAACTATACATAATAAATGAATTAAAAAGTACAAATTGATAGCAAGATGTAATTCTCTTGATAAGTTGAATAAAAATAGTGTGATTTAATATTGGAAAATAAATAGGTCAAAACTTGAGAAAATAAGTTCAATAAATACTACATTGAAACAGGAAGTAAAATATCGCTGACAATGAAGGTCATCAATCAAGATCAACATGAACTCAATTGCAGTAGGTAGTTAATTTTTCCTTATTTATTCAAAACTGGTTAAAGGAGTTAAGAGATAATAAAACATTGTATGCTTGAATTCTGTATATTCTGTTTATTTCAGTAAATCATATACTTATAATAGATTTGCCTACACACGATTCTATATTTCCGAATTAGCTAAAACTTCGACTCAACATATTTCGATAATGCAAAGAGAAGACGAAGTTTATCAGAATTATGTGATATGTTTGGGCCATACATTTCAAACAATCTGATCACACATATACTTGTTAAGACATTCTGATAAACTTCGTCTTTTCATTGCATTATCGAAACTTATCAAATAGACTAGTTGTTTTAAATTTCTGAAAAGAAGTCAACATTTTCCGTAGGCAGACATACGAATTGCTATTCTGCATCATGGCGCTCTTTCGATATCCATTTTATATATCATATTTGCATAAATGGGGATTTCATTTCAATTAGTTTTTCATCATGGCTCGACACTATATATATATATATATATATTCTGAGCCATGTCACACAGAGTCTCCAACCATTGGTTACAACAGGCACGCGGACCCCAACCATGAAGTCTCCATCTACCAACATGGCTCAAACTAGAGGTTAGTGACTTCAAGCACTGATGTCAAGCTTTGGTTTGACTGCCCCTAACTCTCTTCCGACCATCCCTGATATTAGTCAGCATTGCTCGTCGTGGTAATCAGTGTTTAGGCATACGTAACACGTGGCCCAACCATCCCAGTCGGTGAAGATTCATGACCTCATCAACTGCTACATATGTCAATAAGAGACTGAACAATCGCAGTCATAAACGTCAATAGGAAGATTCAAGTAGACAATGCAAAGTGAATTATTTTGCTAACGTTTCCTAACCAAGCAGCACGAATTATGATTGAACTTAAGCTTAGAAGTGTGATTCAGCTTATGATTGTTTATTTTTTTTACTGAAACTGCTGATATTATTCTTAAACAATCACATCAGTTGTTGAATGCACGTTGTGGAATACTTTTCGGAATGTATATTTAACCCAGTCAATTAAAGTAAACTTCACATATATATCATTGATATTATTTTAGAAAATACATCTTTACATTATATTTTACCTGAATTTTGTAAAGAAATGTCTGTATTATGCTGTTGTTGCAGTTGTTCCATGTTAACTTTCTCAGCTGATGCTTTAGCTAATGCCATAATAGTAGCCTGAGCTGCAGAAGTTGATGTATGTGCAATTGCAAGTTGAGCTTGTGAATAACGAAAAGCTGCTGCTAATTCAGACAATTTCTGTCTTAATAACATTGATTCTGTTATATTTGCTTCCCGTTCTCTTATTGCTGTTTCTAATGCTCTCTTTATTTGTTCAACTTGATTATTTAAATTTTGTTTTTGTTCTAAAGCTGACATTCTTTCTTGTAAATGATTTTGTAAACGTTCATTAGATTCTTGCAATAATTTATCAACCTTTAAATATAAATAAGATAGATATGCAATTCTAACTACTAACTTTTATATAACAATTAATAATTAGAATAATGTAAAGAACTAGGTTTCCTATTAGTTTTTTCTATACCGTTTTCTTTACCACTGCTAGAGAGTCCCACACTAGGATGAAACGACCGTTCAGTGCTTCCAGGTTTCTTAATGGTGGTTTGGCTATGATCGATTCATAAATTCAACTGTTACTCCCTACATTTGATAAAATTGTATTTTTAGGCACTAATGTAAAATGATTTGAAGAAAAGAATTGCAAATAATTACACTCATTGTATACATTAGAGATTAACGATTTCGAATATCCCGAATTCTTTAGAAAATAAGACAATTCGTCAAAAACATATCAAGAAAATATGTATTCCAGCGTTTGTCTCAGTGAAAAGATGGGAATCTTTTCAGTCTGGATTTTGATATTCAATGAAAAGTTAAATGCTATTAATCTAATCAATGTCCCATCGTGTAAAAGTGAATTATAATGTGCCAAAAATTGAAATTTTTTAATCTATGTGGATTTATCCCCTAAATCTGATAGTTCAAACGCTTTTCCCTAAGATGCGTTAGCGTAGCTCATATGTTCAATCACCACCTGGATCAAACCATGAGATCATTACATTTTTGGAGTTCAGGAAACAGGCTTCTTCTTATAACCAAATCTCAATGTTGATGCCTAAACAGGAAATCTAGGTCATTAATTATTACTTTGAGTTGTCATTTTTTATGGATTCAGCTTCGATTCCTTAGATTGAATAGCCTCATTTCTATGGTTAAATTATAAACGTCTATTCTAAGAAAGACAACAATGTTGGAATAATAGCTTTTAAGCATTTTATTAAAATTAATTCAGAAATGAGCTAATCAGTTCCAAAAGATGATACTCTGTTAAATATTTAAACTAATAAAAACTGAACCAAAAGTTTGGAAAGAGACCAAAAATTACTTTGTAGTTTACTGAAACATCTTAAAAACCATCCTCAAAAAAACGACAGCTGTTAATATCCATTTAATGCTTATTAGATTGTAAATCATAGGATTAAAAAATGTGTTGAATATTCCTCTTTAATTTATGTATTAAATATAATCCAACATATCAAAACTACTGAAATACACTAAACAGAATAAACAGATAAATTATTTCTGCAAAATAATCATACGAGTACTTATCTACATAGAACTAATGATAAGATACCAATGATTTCAACACAAATTAACACTAAATGGTAACCAATGTTATTCCGTTTAATTCACAGTTTTCTATAAAAAACCTAGTCCGAATGATCTATATATTTAGATTTTGTATTAAATTACATTTGTAAATAAATTCATTACAACCTCATATTGTGCTATATTAACTGTCCTACAAATTAAACATTCACTGCTTTGTCACATTTCGTCATATAACATCGTTGATAAGAGTATATATTTAGGAATGCATAACTAATGATAACCTTATAAATATTACTACTCTACATTTAACCAGATTGGATTAATCAGTTAAAATATACATATTTTACTAAGTTAAATTTAATCGAAAATTGAAGAAGATAAAACACAATATTCTATCACAAAGTTAAATAGTTCAGTAGAAATTTACATGTATTTTGAATAATCACAATGGTTAACTTACTGTTCCCGATAAACGAGTTATGTGTTCTTCATTGATAACTTCTCTTTCTTTTGCACGCGTTAATTCTTGTCTAACTTCTTCTATTTCATCTGTTAATTCTTTCACATGATCTTCATAAGAATTCCATTCCTGTTGAATGATACGTCGAGAGTAATGATTTCTTTTTAATGCTGATCTAATAGATTTAATTTTTCGGATACGTTTATTCTCAAGGTCAGTGATTGAATCATTCTCTTGTTCCAATTCCCCTTCGGATATTTGTTTATTTAATAATTCAGGATTACTTTCATCAGAGCAAGCATTTTCTTCATTGTATTCAGTTCCAGCATTAATATCATCCTCATCCTCATCTTCATCATCATCAATGTCAACTTCATCATTAATGTATTTAGTTTTTAAAGATTTAGTCAAGAAATGATTTGATAATGATCTACTCTGCAACAGATCGTCTTCCACTGTATCTAATTTAATTTGTAGTGTCCGAACTTTTTCTTCTTGCTGGATAGAAAAAAATTAGTAGAAATGAAATGAACGATCAGTTCGTGATTATATAACACTGTCACAACCTAAGTCAAATATCGGAATTTCGTAACATGAATTTCAGTCTAGTATTTACATGTAACTACAGCATTTGAATCGAAAAAAACAAAAAAAAAACATTGTCAAATAAAAACAAAATTCCATTAAAGTCAGTGTAAGAACACCAATCGCATCAACGCCAGACAGAAAAATAAAATTGACAAAATCGAGATTTTACATGTGTCAATCTTTAGATGTTGTGGAAACTATTCATTAGAAAGAATAAAATATTCAATCCAACTTCAGGAAGAACAAATTTAATCCACTAAAGGTCCTAAACATATGTGGAACAACTGATACTTATGCGATTCACGAATGAGACAAAGTAATGGCTATTTTTACAAAATAATTATTATTTTAATAGCTAAGATTTTAAGGCGTATCTTTACTTAGAATCCAAGTTTTAAAAAAGCAACTTCAATAAATGAAATAAATTCTTATTATTAGTAAATACATTTTTGTGATATGCCTTCATTAATTACGCCCGTTACCCCTTGTGGGGAAACATAGGCCGCTTATCAGCATCCTCCATCGTACTCTGTCCTGGGCAATACTTTCCAGATGTTTCCATTTGCTATCTGTCCTTTCGATGTCTGATTTAATAACTTTTTTACTCAATGCTTAATTTATTTTAAACTATCAAGTCCAACCTTGACATTGATACCTACAAATTCTTATTAGTTTATAGATGTTTTATCTTAGCGACAGAAGGCTTGTTATTATTACATTTCTTATCAGGTAAATCAGATTCGGTATTCACTACATGATTTCATGTATATGCTCACCGTTTATTTGTATATTTAATCATCGGTCATTGGGTTAGCCAACAATTAGTTAAACTGAGAAAGTTCATATCCAAATTTTCTGTACTACTCCGTGGTATTTTATTGGTATGTGTTACAATAGGGTAACAGAATCAATCAACAGCCCATTTCCGGAATATTTTATTAATTTTGATCACAATGTCTCACCAAAATTATCTTTTGAAATAATCTGATGTAGTCAAACGATCAGTTTAAAAACAAAAATTACGAACCCTGCAATTCACCGGTCCAAACCTGAACTGTTCATCGTAAAGCAGTTTATGCAGTCTTTCATTCATGACAGCCCTAGCACCCATTTAGTTTCTTTATTCTCAGTAGTCATTCATATAATTTTATTTTGAAAAAAATTTAGGACAATAAAAGGAAATCTAAAAAATAACGTGTTTGATTGGTGATATTCACCAGATCATCAAAAAGAAATAGGGATGATACCTTTAATGAATAAGTAAAGTAAGGAATGCTTCTTAAGAAGTGAAATTATTTACTTTAATAAATATTTCAAACAGATCAGATCAAAGTAATGCAAATTAAACGGATAATTATATTTTATAGCAAGAAGAGCAACCATTATTCAAACAATATGAAGTAAAGATTGCATCAATGATTAGATTGGGCTTTCTAATTGATCGTACTAAAATTTATTAAAATTCATATTTATGCCATCCGAAATATTTGTCAACCTTTTAATCTGTTTATTTGAATAAATCATAACAAAAAAGGGAGTTGTAATTTTTGAACGAATGCACGTATTTGACTATCCCTATTCTACCCATCCACATACTGTTCCAGCTTATTAACCTGAGATTCATAGTGCACAATGGCTTAATACATACTAGAGGTTTAAACTTTGCATTCAAATTTCCAGTTGATTCAAAATGTTATCAAAGAAAGTTATTTGTGTAACGAAAGATATCTTAAATGTATGAACATTGGATTTGAATAAAAAATCATGAAATTTTATCTCTATCCAACTGACTAAGCAATAGTTAACTGATTGTTCTTTACACAGATACTGCATATGATTTAGACTAGTCTATTAATCGTACTTTGATATGCATGTCAGAAACAAGCAAATTATGTTTTAAATTTTATAAGCAAAGATGGATAGTGCCTAGCAGTGGAATCCAGGACGCGCGATTTGCACCGTTCTGGGACTCGTCAGTCGGATTTACCTGCATCCCGGAGCTGATGTTCACTCTGGGACTCGAACTCAGTACCGTTCGTATAAAACACCATCACGTTATCCACTTAGCTACTGAGTCCTGATATCCACTTGCTTGTACAATGGGACGAAGCTTACTTGTATCCTTCCATTGTTTGTGGCGAACGGCACAGGGTTCGAGTCCCGGAGTGAACATCGATTCTGAGATGCAGGTACATCCAGTTGACAGGTCCCAAATAGGACGAAACGCGCGTCCTGGATTCTTCTGCCAGCCGATATCCATCTTTGCTTACCATGATTATATCAATTTTCTAGGTACTCATAAATTCACTATAGATTAGTTAGTTTGATAATCAGTCAATTTTGTTGGGTATAAACAATCAACTCTGTGTTAATGAGGATAACTGTGCTTCAATAAGCACTCTTGAGTCTATTTTTCATATTATTATCTCATCTATATTTTTTCACATTTAAGACATCCTAGTTCATCTGCTGTTTAAACGAAGCGTATGATTTGTAGTCATCTACCACTAAATACATAAATTTGATTTATTTATTAGTAAATAAACTTTCATGTTATACGTTACATATATTAAATGCGGATTCATCTGTTCTATAAAGGAAGTCCTCAGTAAAAAAATCGGATAGTTTTAAAAGATGAAAGCCATTTCCAAAAAAAAGAATTTAAATAACTTTGAAATTTTACCTGTTTAAGTTGCGTTGATTTGAAAGCTAACTCAGCTCGTAATTTATCAGTCATATCTTGGGCTATATTTAATTCACGCTGAGCAACTAAATATCTTTGTTCTAAACTTGTAGCTAGTGATTCTTGATCAGTTCTTCTCTGCTCAGATTCACGTAGTTCACGAGTAAGCCTTTCAATCTAAACAAAATTAGTTAAAAGTAACCATATGTAACCTAAATAGTAACTAACTGTCTAAAAATCAACTTTCGAACCTAGAACAGAATAATAATATTTCGTGTATTTTGAATCCAGCAAAACTAAGGTTTTTCAAGTAATAACTGAATGAACTTTAGACGTTTCAGAGGACGAACAGGTAAATGGTTGCAGTGTTAATATGATTATCTGCAGTTTAGTTTCAACTGTAAAATAAATACTCCAATACACCAATATAGTAGACAATAAGATGCAATCTCACACTTCCTTACGAGTCATTTGTATGGAGTGAAGTATAACGAGTCCTCTAAGCAGTATGTCTTCATCCTTATTCATTCTCTTCAATCAAGTTATTATTTATCTCGCGAATCCTGCTATGTATTATTAGGTTGAAGTGAAGCTGACTACAAGAACACAGTTAACGAAACTTGATTGACAAATTCATGAGCTACCTAGGTCCTCCAAATCAATTTCATCATATAAAAGAAAGTTATATTTATTTGATAAACGTCATAGATGTTAGAGAAAAAAAACCACTTAGTGAGACACTTTCAAAAGTGCATTGAGATTAAAACCTTTGAAAAACTGATGAACATATCTTGTAAGTTTTGGCAAAAAATGTGTCGTTTCTATAGTTATTATTCAAATAACATCTTTCTTATAACTCCTAAAGGTGGATTGATTAATAAAACGAAGTGATAATCCAAAGATGATAGTCCAGAGATTTTGAGTTCTGAAATGAAACCATTACAAAACTATAATCCAATAATCACATAGTCTACACCAAGTAAGCTGAAAGTAGTAAGTACCGAAATTAACAGATTTCGATTGCAGTCTTCAATTAAACTCAGATAAAGTTGAAAACAAAAATTATTTCTTGAATCTCTGAATTGCAAGCAAACTATGTATGGAAACACATGAACGGCTATTGGAGAAGCTAATTTATTTTCATCAAATGAACAGTGGATAACAGTATAATCCAATTTAAAACTTGTTAACTGAATTTACTTGTTGATTTTTACACCAAGACTCAAACTTAATATCCATAAATAAATACGTCAAAATGTTATACATTGAGCTATGGAATCTACATGGTCACTAGTTAGTGCGATGGGTGTAAGTATCATTTTTTAGGGTTTTCATAATTTCCTGTCGTCGATGTCAAGGATTTCAAAATACATCAAAGCTTGCATATGTACTACCTTAAACCATATTTTTATGATATTGAATAAACAGACTAATTTATTTAAAGAGTTTATACTTTTAGTATGAAAGTTGAATGACATTTGAGTAATTTACTTGGTCATTAGCACGATTTAATTCACTTTGTGCTAAACTCAATGAATTCGAGTTTTCTCTTGATCGACTTGTCAGTTCAATCACTTGCCTTCGAGCAGCGAGTAATTCAGATGCCTATAAAATAAATAAGACAAATATAAAAAATCATTTGAATAACTTTTTTAAATAATACTACAAATATATTTTTCAGCCTATTATATTATACAATAAGTTCTTTTTTGAAGTCAACTTAGAAAAGAGAAATACGCTATGTATATAACTCAATACAAAGATCATTCATGTATTCAGTCATAAACAAACTGAAACCTAGCAAACGTTGTGTATTGCACGAGGCTCTCATACTAGTGCTAGTGAATATTTAATATAAATGATGAATGGATCAAGTGAAATAAATCACTATTTTCTTGTAACAAAATAATAGCAATTGTTTAATTGCCTATCCCTTTTGTATGTATTTTTAAATAAACACGTGAATTAGTAAGTGTAATAGAATGTAACGTAATCATTTGTGCAATGTCTAGGCTGATGTGTTACCATGGGCTTAATCTTTCTAATTACAACCAGTTTAGCAACATAATATGTTTTCTCGATGGCTGCTTTTAGTTTCTTTCTCAGAATCGTACTGTTTGGTTTTCTTCTGGATGGCAGAGACATATAGACTCTTTGGTTTGCAGCAGAATTAAGAAAAGATTTTGTGTTAACTGACGTTTACACCTATTCATCTACTTTAGCTGGTAACTGTTTAAGATTAATTTTCAATCAACAATTCCGTATCTTCAAACGTATTTGCAGTGCATGTTCTTTGAGTTCTATCGAAGAAGTATTTTGTCAAGCCTCGCTTGTGTTGCAGAGCAAATCTAGATATTGTTCAGCCCAGGCTAGCTTCTTTCATCATACAGTTTAGCTATCTTTGTTAGGCGATTGTCACCCTATTCAGGACTCATAGTAAAATATAAGGTCATTTAGTTAGATTCCGTGGCAACATCCCTAGTCATTAAAGTCAAAATAACTATATTAGCCATTCGAGCATGAAGCATCTTAGAAGACGGATGCACAGTCATAAATAAACGGAGTTGAAGGATATATCAATCTCTGTTTTGATTGCTTTAACAGACGATGTTTACTGATACCTTATCCAATTTTACAATTTTGTTATTTTCTCTGACTTTCGATGTCAATTAACATAGAGATCTTTCATTAGTTCTTTTGAGAGCAGTTACACTGATTCCTCGTAGTTAGTTTAAAAGCGAATTCATCAGATCAAGAAAAGCAAGTGTTTCAAGACCTTGGAACTAAGTCTCGTGTTAGTTAACTCTCGCCACCATGGGTAATACGAAATAACAGGTAACCAAACGTTTGCTGTAGGATTCCAATACATATCATTCTAAATTGCAGTTCAACTTCTAAACCTCCATCCGCTAAAGATATTCCAGTGGCTTTTGCTATCGTGGAGTAGCCATCTTTTTCAGAAGTTATAAATCCTCATAATCAAAGGAAATTAATTTTTATTAAGTCATTAAGTTATATTATCAAGTAGTAATCAGAATATTAAATCAGATCTCTCCAATTGGTTTTCAGGTGATTAAAAATACTCCATTCGAAGTCCTACATACGCATTTAGAAAATCTGGAATTCTCGTTTTCTCACATAAGACGTAATAGATAAAATTTGTTTGTAATTTCCAAAGTTGATGTGTACCTATTAGTTTTCAACATTTGTTGGACATAGAATGGCTGGAAATGAGACATAAATTTGTAGTTAATAATCATTTAAGAGGAACTCCTATAAACAGTGTGAAAATAATTTATATGCTAATTTCCAATGTAAACATACACGTTGTTCAAGGTTCTCCTGCAGTTCTTTGATTCTGTTCGCTGCTTCAAGAGCAGCTGCTGATGCTGAACCATAGAATAAATTTGATAAAGAAGCATTCAGAACTGGTGACGAAGATAATAATTCAGAACTTTTGCTTATTTCAACTGATCCTTTTGGTAACGAAGCAGTTTCTAATTTGCAAATAAAATGAAAAGGTATTTCAGTGATTATGGTGCAATAACAAATTTTAATATACTGCCAAAAGCAAACAATGCGGAAAATTTAAATTTTTAGATTGGATGATAAGTAAAGTACGTTCTGTGGTTTACATCGTAAAATGGTCTTAGTTAAACAACCATTGAAGATCAAGAAGCATTGAACAGCTATTTCGTTCTAGTATGATATATCTCAGTGATCCCCATCAATTTTCCCATCAGAGATCGAACTCTGAACCTCGACATACCGCGACAATTGATTAACATTTAAATGATTGACCTGGAATCCAATGGTGAATTTAGATTGATGCTATTAAAATTTTACAATCTCCATAACAATAGTAAATAACTGTTTGACTATTTCGTTAATAATGATTAGCCCATATTTTATTATGAATTATAATAAGTGTTTTGTTCGTTAACGTCATTCATCATTTATTGACTAAGAAAGCAAAAAAAAACAGAAATAAAAACTCCACTTTTCTAAATTGAACATTGAGTGAAAATAATCATTAATTATGTATTTTCCCCTTCATTTTCTCCACTCACTTTTTCTTTGTATAATATATTTTTACCCCGTAGATTATAAATATTTAACACCCAGAAAGTAAACAAGTCTGATAAATTGGTTACTTGGAAAAATTAAATATCCAGTTTTTTCCCTAAATATTGATCCAACTATGAAACTGCAATTTATGCGATAAAATTATATTTGATAATCAAAATAGATTATTTTTAGGAAAGGTAACTTTTTTCCATGTAAACTGTTAATGTAAACATTCGAAATGTTGTTTTACTTAATAATCAGAGAATGATGAACAGAAACAACTTAGATCACTTTCGAAGGAATTTCCGGTGTAGAAAATTGGTTTTTTTTATTCATTTATCTGTTCGTAAAACCTTAAACTATAGACTAAAATTACTTAATTGTACTTTGATCTACAGCTTGCTTTCAATGATCTATGTTTTCCTTCAATTCCAACACTAATATCATGAACTCGTTTCACTTGTTTCAAAGCACTATTTTATGTTTTCCAGTGACGTAATCTAATCTCATAAAAAGGGGAGTTATAATGAAGCTTTTATCATATCTAGTATCATAAAAATGGAAGGTATCAACTTATTATGTGTAATTTTTACCAAAATATCTTTGCAGATTACAAAATTCACAGAGCTAGATGATAAAGAAGGAACCACACATTATTTTTATTTTACAAACGCGAGCAATATCAATGCTTTTATTATTAGCATACTGTGTTTTTATTTTTTAATTGAATCCGCAAGACACCTGATAGGATATTGATAGTACAAATATCTCATTAATTCATAGAACTATAAAATTTTGTCTAGAACATCTGGTATATAAGCTTCATTCGTGTAACGTCAAACTCTACGAGGGATATTTTAGTCATTTCATTGTCTAGAAAAGAATGGTTCACAAACTTAGTAAAGGTACCCAAGTCGTCAATTAATAGACAATTTTCAAATAATATAGTTGATTCAATGAAATACTTATTTACAGGGTTAAAAAAGTGTTTAAAAAAAGGGATATTGAATCCTACCAAATACTACCGAATTATGACGAGAATAGTTCCAAATAGCAATTACTATCAAAATATTTTTCCACTTAATACAATTTACCTTTAAGTGATAACTTCTGAATTTGATCAGGGTTATTCTTTATATCTGTATCAACATCTTTTGTGAAATCTTTGTCAATTTGAGTTTCACTGGATGTCATTGTTCGATGTATATTATTATCATTACATATATTTGCAGTGGAACTACTATTTATTTTTGAACGTTTTAGTTCGAATAATTCATTTTCTAAGTCAGTTACTTTATTTTGTGAAACTCTTAAACGATTATGAACTTTTTCATCCAAAACTTTGTGATGTTCAAATAAAGATTTCAATGCTTTTAAAACTTCCACTTCTGAACCTAATCCGGCCATCGAAGGACTTGTAGATCCAGTAGTTGCATTCATGGAATAATTCGGTGAAGAATTTAAAATATCCATTTCAGAGCACACTGTTTCACCATCAGCCATTGTACCCCCCGGAATCAATGAATTTGTACTATTACTCATGGCCGTTGATGTATGCCGCTTCACTACAGTCATTCTAAGTGATTTTTCATGGCGAGCTACTAAATTCTCCAGGTGTTCTAAGAGAATCTACAGTTAGAACAAACGTGAAGGTAAAAGGATGCATCATCATTGTATAAGCGTACTACTAATAAGGTTATTCGAAATAAATTCTCTGAGCATATATTTAATTATTTGGATAGGAAATTTATAGCGAATCTCAATCAAACATAATAGAGAAACTTAAGTGTATAGTTTAAATATTTTATAAAACTGCAAATTATTATCATCGTAAATCAAGAATCATCGTAAAATCAACCTTCAAACTTAGGTGTTCAAATTCGCCCGTTTTAAGGGTATTAGTATCGATTAAGTACATTCGTGATACCAATGTTCAATGTGTATTTTGTAAAAATGTAATTATAAATTAACCTGTGATACAACTAAGGAAATTTTCTGAGATAAAACAATCAATAAAGTTGTGAAGTACTTTTGGTGTTAAGAAAATGTGAAGTATTATCCCGTAGCAAATATTGACTATTATCAGATTTTCCAGCAAGCCGTAAATAAATATTTTAAGACAGAAATTGACCTGAGTTGATTTAATCACTTTTACTACATAGTACACTTTTTGTATTTCAATATATCTCTGTTGTCAGTTGTGAAAACCAGTGATATGACTCCTTTTGTGATTATACAAGAAAAACTCATCAATATCAGAATGCAGATAAATAACTTTTTCTTTTACATCAAGGACTGATTTTGGAAAAACGGCCTTTCTAATCCTGGTATAACTGGGTATTGTTTAGTCTTTGCAAAACACTTGCACATCTACAACCTCGCACTGTAAGAAACGAATTTATCACTTCTTCTTTACATCTAATAAAACATAAGTGAGTAGGATCTTAGCTTCATTTTTTTATTGCAAAAATATGAATAAAAAATTATAGAGGTTTTAGAGATTACTGTTATAATTTTGTGTTTCAAAGCATCTACTAAGCGTTCTGTATCGATCAGATGCTAAGAGATCCGACTGATGAATGCAATTACTCCTTTAGGTTTACGAGTTCACCAAAACTGACCATTTTATTGTTTGTTTACGGTAACTGTAATAACAGAACATGTAAGTTTGGATGGGGTTATTTAGAGAAGGATATGTAAATATTTCTTTATTGAGTATTACTGTTGTGAATAAGGAGGTAAATTTTTCTCAAGGACAGATTTTGATCATCATGATATTAAAACATCTCTTTTTGAAGACTTTGTTTTGTATTCATAATTTTAAGCTCAACAATAGCAACAATGAATGCAAGTATACCTACTATATACTTTATTCTGTTTAGTAAAATTCACATAATGGTTAAAAATAATAATTTACAAAGGTTCGCTGAATGTTGGAATACTGACTATAGACAGTTACCAAATAAGTTTACAGCCTTAAGAAAACAGGAAAAGTATTGATAAATAAATGACAAAAAAATTTATCTGATGGATTTCTAAGACGATAATGAAAAAAGCTATTCGAATACAAAAGATATATAAACTTGTGTCTGCTGATAAAATTAGAGGTTTATTAAATTTCACTTGCTAATTGATTTCACTTGAGACATGAAAAATCTATTTGACTCGTTTTTGGAATGTCAGAATTACACATCACGATATGCTCCTATGTGGCTATTATTAATCATCCTGTAAAAACGTCCTCTCTTCGATTCCTGATTTGGCCAGGATTGATCTGAAATAATTTTTTATTTGTTTGGACAGGACCTTAATGTACATCTGCTTTATTAGTATATCCCTCTTCTTTAAATGAAATGAAAATTTATATCTATCTAGATGATCACAACGATCATTAACATGATATAAGAATAAATGATCTGGGATTTAATTAATTTCATCTAACTAATCTTTGACATAATGGATTTATTTCATTAGTGTAAAGTTTACTATTTTTTGTTAGTGATAGACATCATTAGACAGATTTCTCATGTGTAATAGTCACCGTAAAACAGTATTCATTGAATCAAATATTTACTGAAATTTTGCTTTTATTTTTTGTCACATTTTATTTACAAGATTCTCAATTGCTTTCATTTTAAAGAAAAATTAACTTACTACGATCTGATTTATATACACAATGAGATTAGATAGCTTTATATATTTAATAAAATTTATAGTTTAAGACAATTCTTTTTTTTATCTGTACTATATTTGGCAAGACATTAAATAGGAATAATATTTATTTGTAAAATCTTAACGAATGAATTCAAAGTAAATCCAATTATCGATCATTTTGATGTTTGATTATATTTCCTTGAAAAAGCTTGAACCAGATTGACAGGTGAAATGTTGGATTTACTTCGAATTCATTCTCTGAGATTTTACAAATATATATTATTCCTATTTAATGTTTTACATCAACTCGGCGTTCAAATACTGTGAAACTATTCGCTCTAATTTAGACGAAACTTTTAATATATTTGGCAAATGCATAATAATCTGTTTTGGCCATTAAATGTTTATAGCTAATTATAGTTATTTATCGATGAAGTGACTTTATTAAATCAGAAAGCATAACACGTTATTCATATCCTTTATATATTTGGATTAATGTTAAAATATCCATCAGGTATAAAATAATTTATAATAATTTGTAGTGCCGTGCTTCGCTTCGTTCACCTCGATAACCGTTATAATACAAATCTTAACGGTGCATAATATCAGAAGGCAAAAGGGAAGCTGCAGCTACAGTTTTATTGACAAATGACGCAGGCCAGAAAGTTATAAGCACATGAGCAAATATCAGCGAGCGAAGTAGAAATGACACACATTGGAGATGGCGGGTAAGCCAACTCACTTTAATCAAGCGTTAATCAATATTTATAGTCAGACAAGAATAAATGACAGACATGTGATAAATAGGATAAGAAGTGTACACACACCTACGGTCATATAAAAATGGTCAGGGTTAATAAGCGAATAATTAACAAGGTGAAAACATGACTCATGATGGATAGGTGAATTGACTTTTCCAGAAGTTAGAATAAGACATATGGGCTTAACCTAGCAAACGATACTACAACTTTTCATTTACTAAGTCAATATAATTGAAATTCATTTCTCTTTTTGTTAGAGAAATATTTGTTTTAGATTATAAACATTATGTTTAAACATGTTACACAAAGCTAATATGTAATTTTATTATGATAATTCTAAGTCATAATACCCAAGTATTTATACTGTTAAACTGTGAAATAACTGTAAATGTATTATGCAGATAAACATCATAATCTTAAAATCAAATAAATCTCGTGATGGAATAAGTATAATTAATTCAAATAGCATTTTTCACAGATGATAAACTCTACTAGATACTGATTTTCCGGATACAAACATTAGCTTCTTTATCATTTCAAGATAACAAAAAATACATCGTTTAGGTTTCCAAACCTTGATTAGAGGGTTTGATAGCTTCATTCGAAGTTTTATAACTTCGTTTAATAATACTAAAACATCAAGCACTTGAGATTTTTATTCCATAGTCTAAGCGAAAAACAGATAGCAAACATCATTTTTGTAACCATCCGTGAATACTAGATTTTTGAATTTTGATTAATACATCGGTTTATTTACTACATAGATAAGGTATTTGACATCTATTTTGAATAAGCTTTAAGTGGTTCTTGCCGGCAGTACAAAATTCATGGACAACATATTATCAGTAAAGACATTCGGTTTACTTGATAATCATTATGTGAAGTGAATAAACATGCAAATTAATTAGTCCACCACTGAAGTGACTTAATGAAATCATCAGTATAGGTTTGTGTAAAAGTTATGGTAAGAATATTTAGCTTATAAATAAATATATACTTGACTTTATTTTATTCAAACAAAACTTTCTAAAAGAGAATATATTCTTTCCATCTTGATGTTTAGAATTTATTTTTGTTTATGCCGCCAAAGCATTTCTGTGCCATGAAATTAATAATAATAATAATAATAAATCAAACTACATTAAATACTTTTATTCACTAAGTAAAAGAGATTAGATGTTTATAATGGTATACTTATCCAGATCATTTGTTTATTTCCCAATTTAAAAATCATAGACATAAAAGAATTAGAATAAAAATACAGATTGGGAATATTTTATTGAACAGTTACTTTTGAGTTACTGTTGGTTTAAAAAAAGGTGTTTCTAATGATTTTATTTAGTAGTGTCTTTATGAAATTCCATAACAATGGTAGTTAAATATTCTGATTTTTTACATTAATCGATTTATTTGACGGCAGCTTATAATTCATACGAGACTATACAACTTTCGAGTGGGTTTAAGTACCTTCAATGAACTCTTTTCTTCTCTATTTTTGAAACAGTTGAAACTATTATTTATATTACAGTCAACTGGAATCACTCACAATCGCAGTTATTCATTTAGAAGTCAATAATTTGACAATGGCAGCAATGAGCCATACTATAGATTAAATTTTTAAGGTATTCAGTGACCCAACTCTTTAAAACCAATAAGTGTATTCCGATATTCTGATGTTAATGGCTATGGTTTGATTATGTTTACAATTTAAGCGTTGAAACGTGTTAGTAATCTGACAAATAAAGAAATTCTAAGATTAATTCTCGCTTTTATCCCTCATTTATAGTTAATATTATTTAATAATCTATTTTAGTTTAAGCATTAATATATGGCAAATTTATTCCAATATAAACTTGTTATCTTTAATTGTAGACAACTACATTTTGAAATTAATCAAGTTATTTGTCCACCTTAAATGAATTCAATAATATAGAATATCTTACTATTTCTAACATTGAAATCGTCTTCAATTTTTCTTGCAACAATAATACAATTTAATTAACTTAAACTTATGAATAGAACTGTTTCAGTAAATATACTTTTAAACATTAAAATAAATTTCAACAAATAAAAATGTATTTCAAGTAATCAGTTGATCAGAATGGGGATTTGGAAAGATTTTAATAATTTTAATATTTGAGATTCATGCATCAATCTAAGCTAGACTTACTTTCATATTGTTTCGTTCAGCTTTCAAATCATCAATTTCATCACATCTTTCAATTAATTGTTCTTCAACTTCTGTTAACTTTTTTGACATTTCAACAACATCCTAAATAAATAATAAAAGGTAATTTTAATAATAAGACAAGTTATTAAGAAAAGAAGATTATCTCAATGAATAGTATTACCTTCTTTGTTCAGACATAACTATAATAGTTTTCATTAAATAAAGGTAAAATAATTGTTATAAATATTATGAACTTAATAAATTGTTTGTACAGAAATAAAAATAAACATTCATATTACTAATAAGTAATTAATGTTAAAATGAAAACAGAAAATTTAACCTGTTAATGTTAATTTTAAGTTAGTAACATTTTACGGTCAGTTTATCAGATTTTTAAATGGGATTCCATTACTAAAATTTACAAGTATATAGTTTAAATAATTTTATTTCCCAAAAAAATGTTAAACTTCTTTCCTTAAATGTCAATTAAGAAAACATATTGAGGTCTGTTTGTGATGTATAATGTATTCAAAGTAACCTAATCTACATTATTCATCGTTACCTCCATAATGAGTCATATGCTTACTAGTAACCGACATTCTAAAGTTTTAGTGGAAGATTAATGCTGAAGTTCATTCACGTAGACTGTAAGACTCATTCATCAGTGAATTCGATACCTTTACAGTGTTTCAAAAATTGATTAAAGCTGGAAATGTAAACTACTAGATACAAATTCAGTAGTGTGAATGTAACGCCAGATCTAGATTTCCTGGTTTTGATTCCTGTGTCAATCATACTAGAACAAAATGGCAATTAAATGGTTTATGACCTCCACTTGTTTACTAGTTGATCTCAATTTGTAGCTAAAAATATTTATAGAAAAGTCATCCTTACAATGACTAGTTTTTAGGATTAAAACTGGGTTAATACTATAATGTTACGGAATAAATATGATCGAATACTCCATTTTCAACCTGATTTGCATAACTGAATCTCAAAATTATTCACCTGACACTACATCGATTGATAGGGGACACGAATTTTCTTACCTCGTGAATTTGATATAAAATAGTCTAATCATCAAATAAATTTTACATCCGTTCCAACTGCTGAATACTTAAAGACTCTTATTTCAGACATACTTGCTATGAATCAGTGTTTAAGGCAACCAGCTAACTGGTTATTCATTAAACTTTGCATTTCATTATGATAGAAGTCTTTCAGCTAACCTAATCAACCATTCTAACAAACGTTCCAGAGCATCATACTTAAAATAAACATTTCTCCCATAGACTTCCCAAGATCACTACTTCCTAATTAGATTACTTAATAGGTCAACAAAATGTATTTATTAAAACATTCAATGTTTACTATAGAATACTGTATTTAGCATAGTTTTATGTTTTAAATAAAATCCTTTAACGTTTTAATAGATAAAACGGTGATAGCTGTGATAGCTATCAAGTGTTTTATACTGCAGTTAGAATTATGCATAAACATTGTATACACTTTCTAATTGCCGCTAATAAATGAAAACACATATTTATATTTTGGTTAGAATTAGATGGTATAAGTAAATAACTGTAATCTTAAACTTTCATACAATTTCACTTATTAGCGTTTCATTTAAGATTAAATATTTATTATCAAAGCTTGACACATGACAATTGAATATTTCTAGCTCATATTGAAAACTATAATGGTGAAACGTTATACAGTTATGTAACTTATTAGCTTCCTTACGCAACACAGTATTAGTTAAAGAGAAATATATTAGTTTCCAGTCCTATTACTCTGAATCCCTAGGAAAGTGGAGTTTGGTAGAGTAGAGTATTATATTCACTTCTTATATCCTTGTTAGTTATAATCATATAGTGTGGATATTCTTAACTAAAAAGGTAGTTTTAGCTCAACTTTATTAATACAATATTTACATTCCTAACTCAAAAAATATATCGAGACAATGTGAAACTTTTTAGGATAAATTAATTTATTCACGTTGTTACATGGTTTAACACAGCAACAATAAATTAAAATAAATCAACCTAATTAAAATTAAAAGATTTATTAACTTGTTTCATCTTAAATGGTTTTTACCTAGAAAGATAATTTTATCATAAGATCAATTAACTGAACGTTAAGTATGAGGTGTAACGTTTTTAGAAAACGATACAAAACATTTATTCAAATCAATAATGCAAGAAAGATCGGTAGAGCATAGTGTACTCTATTCTGCATATTCATTTTTAAAGCTAAAGAAGATATTGTGAACAAGGACTTAACTGATGGTAGTGTAACATACAATAATGATTGATTTATTCAATAGTCTACAACATGTAAACACATGTTAAGATGTAACCATATTTGTTATATATGTTATAGACCGTTAATTTTATTCTATATCTATGATTGTTTTGTGATTTATCGATCATATGGTTTCAGGTACTACTCAATCTAAGTTATATAAATTTGAATGTTAATTTGAGGGTAAATAAACCATGTAAAAAGTAGTGAATTCATGAGTCGTTTTGATTTGTTTTGCTGATCAAAAGAAAATCATGTGTATCATCTTCATGTTCTTACTTAGGTCATCCGATTTATGATGTCCAGTGGCAAATACTAAGATAGTTAAGTTTTCCATATAATCAGCAGTACAGTCACAAATATATACTTTTTTGAACAACAACAAATAATAAGTTTTTTAAGGATAATAGTTTACTAAGCATCATTACGAATTCACGGAAAAAAGTTATTCACATCAAGAGACTTAAAATATTGTTTTTAAAATCTTGCATATTCATCAAGAGTATCTTAAACTTTTTGAAAAGAATAATAACTATTAAAAAGGCTTGGCCAACATGACAGGATAAATTTTTAAGACTAAATTGTAAAATAGGGTGTACTCCATCTATTCAAATCATTTACATAAGCATGATTTACTATTTTTGCCTAAACATTCTGATTTCATTTTATGTTTAAACGGATTTTGGTATTCTTTTTTAAATCATTTGAATAGAAGCCATTAAAAGAAGACTAATTTTTTATGAAGTCAATAATATGTTCAGTGTCTAATGATGAATTAATTATTCGATCAGAAACGAAAGTATGTCAATCAATGTTTTTATAGAACGTTTTTGTTGTTTATAAAAATAATGACGATGATGAAGCAGTGGTTCACTTTTAATACACCACAAATAGGTTATATGCATATCGAAAAAATGCATAATGTATTAAATATGACGAAATCTAAAAAGAATTTGTTAAGTCGGCTTACAGTAAACTCTATCAGAGCCTCCAGAGGCTCATAAAGAGACTCAGCCAATCAGCGATTAATTAGAAGCTATGTTACTAATAACGAGATCCTGATTGACTGTTTAACACACTGCTACTATGGAAACTCAAGGTCTCTTAATTACTATAAAACCCCTGTATTTTCTGTACATAAATGAATCCTGTAGTAAAGCGCTTCCCTCATACTTTGTACCTTTTTTTCTGGTCTCCAAGTTGCTGTATAGTTCTAGCTCGGGGATATGGGACTAGCTTAGGAAAGCAAATATAGCGTGCACAATCGGCCAGACGTAACAGAATTGTAGTGTAACGTAGCATTAAGTGCATGATTGAATGTATTACCAGTAAGATCATGAAGATTTTAACATCACTGTACAATCCTTGAAAAAAACCTTTAGCCGAACTTAAGAAGTTGAAAAAATAACAGCTCTGGAGACCATTAGAACAAAGGTATGAAGTTATCTACATGTTTTAACAACTGAATAATAGATAGCATAATATCTCTTTAAGTGAACGGAAGCTTATGCTGAAAAGAAACAGATAAAGCTGAGCTAATTTTGATTGTCACAATAATAAACAACTTTAATTTGAAAATCATTACATAAGTAACTAAGTATTGACCTTAAATAACAGAAAATAAAACATTATACTAAAATATTAAGCGGCCAACTGTGAAAATGGAAAAATAGGAGGGAATACGAAATTATGTTCTGTTAAGGAAAATGGATGGAGAAGATGTAAATAAGAGTAAACATCTCCGTCCGACAAGCGGTTAGTTTCACCCTACATAACTATTATGTTAGTTCTTTGATTGTAATCCTGAGTGACTAAGGTCTGAATCCCACGAAAACTATTACTGCCCTCGAAACTACAATACTGAAAGAATAACAGCCAGCAAAAAACCTAGGTTCAGAGCACTGAAAATATCCATCAATAACGTAACACAGTAGACATCGTTTACCGGACGTTTGAATTTTTTCTAATCAAATATAAGTAATCAATCCGTATCTAGTGATTTTAAAAAGCATTAAAATAAAAATGATTGCAAAAAATTTAATTTTTCATGCTGATTAGTCATTATAATTCATGAATTATTTTTAAAGAAGAATAGTTTGCTATAAAATCACTTTGAAAACATTTGTGATCAAATATCTTTACTTTGAGTACATATTAAATAGTTGAGATCATGAATTAATTGAAGCTAGACCACCATGGAAACACTGAACGGCCGTTTCGTCTTATTATGGGACTCCTCAGCAGTGCACATCCACAGTCTAGTTTCAACTGACTCATGATTTCAACTATGAAAACACTGAAATCTCCACAAAACTCCTTCTGATCTATACATTAAATGTCGCGTAAAATATTTTAAAAAAAGGATGCTTAAACATGTACTTTGTATGTTCTCAAAAATTATATTTATCTGTTTACCATTTGATGGCAATCTATCTGGTAGATACAGTTACTTTATAAATGCAAATAGCTCAGATAAATGTTCACTTATCTCTAATTCAAATTCAACTGAATTTATACCGTATGTTTATGTTTAATACTCAGTAAATAATTATTTCTTTTTATAGATTAAAATGATTCAGTTCTTCTTTTTTTTTAAATATCCATCCTAGTTACTAAACAATATACCAAGTGAGAAAGAAACAGGAAATAATTTTGATAGCTTCAGCGGTGAACCAACTCTATAATATATTGTTTCAAAATCAACATGATGAGATGAAAAAATCGAAAAACATGAATACATCTTCAAAGCTGTTGATTTCTGACCATATTTAATTAATCCCTTAACTACAAAATTAACGTTACCTTAAGAGCATCGATTAAGAAGTTTACACCGATGCACTGCTTGTATCAACAGCCAGTGACTTTATTAATTGACGATATTTCTAAACTAACTTAATTCTGTCCCGATGAATATAGTCCTTCAGTGTGAAGGATGTTAATTCATGTGTAAAATTTGTTCTATCCATCCCAGTCAATTTCATATCCTCATTAACCGAAATGCAATCTCTTACCTTGTACTTTTTTATTTGTAACACGGATCACCAGATGATTCTAACGCGAAGAAACCATTCCAGTGATGACTATAACCACATGAATACATCTCATACATATATTCTGCTTAGGATGACCTTATCTCACTCCTGCGGAAAAATGGAAACTAAACTTCCTCAGACTACAAACCTTCCTTTGTAAGATATATATATATATATATATATACAACCATTAAAGCTAAACTGCACTTCTGCTACCAATTATTTTCATTAAGATTAGGTAGAACCTAATCTGGAAACTCTAGAATGAATATCATTAACTTGTAATTAAGTTAGATTGAAATTTTATTTTCTTCTAAATGAAAATCTTATCTTTTGACTACAAATTACACACTTTTGTTCACTTATCTTTATATATCTCTTGAACTGAGTAAACTTGTAGAGAAACTTTAAAATTTATGGACAATATATAAAAAAGGGCAACCCAAACGTATTCACATAGGGCAATCTTATGTATTAACTAATATTGCCATTTTATTTTGGCATTGGTTAAGGCAATTCATTTCAACCTCTCGGTATGATCTAGTTGATATAAAAGGTAGAACCACTGAAGTCATTAGGATATGAACATCTGTTAGACCCAAACTTAAGATTTCCAAGTTTAATACTATCCAAGTGTATGCTTTGAATGGGGTTAAAGCCACTTTCACTTTTTCTATAATGATATTTCGGCGTTGTCTAATCCAGTCTTGTTAATTACAAGAAAATCTCTGTTCCTGATAGTATGGATTGGCATTGACATGAGTGCAGCATTTGAACGGGTCAGTATCACTTGAAAATAAACCTAAAATAACTGGCTTTCATTGATCTGTCAGTACGTTTCTCGTCACTAGACAACAAGATGAACATCTTATCAATCTGTAACACATGTACATACAAATCAATGAAGTAACGACACGTGATTACTTCCTAAATATCGTTCCTTTCTATAGTTATGATTAATGTGTATAGATGTTTTCAAATGGTTTAATGCTTAGGTTTACCTATATGATTTTTGATGGAGCTAGTTCAAATTTTCAGGGTAACGAAAGTTTAACAACACTGAAGTTACATTTTACCAATAAGCGTTTTACTTTACTAATCCTAGACCAATAATATAATACGAAGTATTCAGGAAAACTTAATAAATAGTGTTGTATCCTATTAATTAATTCACTAAGCCCATGGATTCTAACTACAGACAACATATAACATAATAGTCATAAAATTTTGACTGGTGTTTAAATAATTGTTCTTCTAATTGCTTGTTTTGTTAAAGGTGAGAGTTCCGAAGTAAACGATTTGATAAACACGGATAATTAAAATTGATATATGAACTGAAACAGTTCAGTACAATTGCTCTACTATTTTATTTATCCGACTTTCCAAAATTATAATTTATTTTTTTACAAAACAATGCTTAGCTGTTAACTGCTTTTGTAATTTTTGTTTAAACATATTAATATTAATAGCTAAAAAGATTTTACTGATTCTGATTTTATCCTTATAAAAAGTTAATAGTAAAAACATTTAAACGAATGTCTGTAACCTTTCTTAGTTCAGTATAAAAGAAAGTCAACCATAATATACTTTTGTAAGAAACATACTTGAGGCATTTTAGCTGACAACTGTGCATGAAGTTTATCACGTTCTCTTTCAACTTCGCTCAATCGAGTTCTTGTTTCGTTAACTTGTTCCTGTGACTCGCGCAATCCTTCCATCAATCTGTCACGTTCATCCAACATACTAAGTAACATATCTTCAACATTTGTACCATCTGCACTAACCAGTGAATCTCGATCACCCTGTAAACATGTTAAAATAATCATTTTAGATAATGACAACAGTGATAACACTACATTCTTTGGTGAAGGTTTCTGTTTCAGTAATTTTCTATTTCAACGACAGTAGAGTTCTCGACTTTATCTCATTTTTATTTAGATCTGATAAATCGAAAGACATAACGCTAAATTTATTTGTTGACTGGATATTGAAAACAAACTGTAAGCCATTTCCAATAGTCATATACTATGTGGAAATTTAAGTTTTATCCCGATGAAAATCAGGATTAAATATAACTACTTAAGGGAATAATTTGAATCTACTGAAATAAAGAATTAAGATAGTGTAACAAGAGGACGAGAACTATCGGAACTGTCTGATGTATTAGCTCATAGTTCTGATAAGCTTTATCTTCTTAGTGCACTACCATGTTTATTAAAGAGACTAACAATTTCAAACGAAGAATGTTGTTAGACAAAGTATTTCTAGATTTATCTTATTGAGACAAGACTAAGTTTCATAACTTTCAACTCCTGATAAGCAAGCCTTAATTCCCATAAAATATCTATAAAATATGAGCTTTTTCGTTTCCATACTGGATACCTACAACAATGTATCATGTAATAGGCCAAAAGATTGAAAAATACGAGGCTTTCTGTTGAGTAAAATTAATATTTTTATGATCGCTCGTATGAAATTCCTAAACTTCTCTAAATTTTGTCTTCTCTATACCGTGGCACATACTTTTATAGTTGTTATTGATGTATCTATTCTTACTTTCATGTTTTTCAATAAGTTGTTTCTTTTAACAGACTCTCTTAATACAATTTTTCTAAAAACGTATGGAAACAGCTGAATACAAAAGGAAAATAATCATTACGTATAGTAATCATGGGTCTTCATAAATATTATAGTCGTGTTCTCCACACACGTACCCCCATACATTATATTGTTATATTTTATTGGACAGTTTTATTTACTAGATAAATAGATAAGCTGAAAGATTTGGACAAAATTTTCCTTAGGAGGAATTGCATAACGGCTTTTCTTTAAAACTACGTTTCATACCAGTCGATTAATGATTAATAACCAATACCATATTAAATAATATATTTGTAGTATCCCGATGAGTAGAAAAACCAGATTTTCTGACGCTTCGTGACTCAGTGTAAGCCCCTCCTTCCAAAAATAAATAACCAAATTAAAATCTAGTTATTTTCTGGAGAAGTGGCTTACACTGAGTCACGAAACGTCAGAAAATATAATTTTTCTACTCATTGGGATATTAAAAATATATTATTTATTTATAACGCTCTACCCAATGCTCAATTTATTTGAAACTATCAAATCAAAACTTGGTGATGATACCTACAATACCATATTGGTTATTTATTTATGTTAGCTACACTTCATCAAGTATTTTTGTAGCTATATTAACCAATCTAGGGAACTAAAAATCTGTGTGGTGTTGATCAACAGTGATTATTGAAAAACGGGACAGGAAACTCTCAGCAGATTCTCTGTGTTTTTGAGTCTAATCCTTCGAAAATTCACTTCAGTACCTAGTAGCTTGGCTATAATACTAGTTGAAGTAGTTTATCAAAGCTATTTTCGTTGATACTAAAGACACTCCTTATTAATGATCAATACATATTTCTGCTGATGCGTTTCAAATATCGAAGACCACACCATACTTATCCATAAGGACTTTTGTAGTCTCCTTTGGTGTTCGCGTCGATATGACCCTATCAGCTTATCTACGGATGGGAAAAAATTATTGTCACTGAAAACCTTACATACTTTTCGATGTTTAGTTTCACATACATATTACCCATACAGTCGGATAAAAGTTATGCATGATTTTCTTAAAATTTGGTAGTTTACTTTTCTAACTATTTCAACATTCATCAGTAGGTTGCCTTATTATGCATGATTCAAGTTCGAATATCATGTCATCTATTAAGCCATGTAACAAATAATTAGGTAACTGAACAGATAGATAGATAATGAATTTGTGTATACAAATGATTCTAAGTTTACCTGGGACCCAATATCTTCGTTAATTGTTGGCATAACATCGCAGATCATTTTTCCTTATAGTAAAGTTGATGAAGACAGCTAAAAATTATCACATCTATGAGCATATAAGGAAAAACAGATACATGGTATAAAAATGTTGCAGAAAAAGATAAATAAAAGATTACAAAGTATTTTGGCGATATATTCGCCAAAAGGAGCATTGAATATATTGATGTTTGTGTTACTCAATAAAAGAGACAAATATAGCTGGTGATATTCACCACTCACGTGAGATGACTAAAGTTTTGAATATATAACAAATACTTGGGTGGATCTTTCGCTTGTCACATCGATTTACAAAGGTATTAAGATTTAATATACACGTCCTGTGTTGTAAAGAACTGCATCTGATTTTACATATATCTAGACAATTAGTATGAAGTCCTAGCATGTGGTATTATTCATCAAACATTTTTATCAACAAACACCAGTGACTTGTAGCACGAGAGATATAAAAGTGTTGGTTTTCAAATGATATACTGATTCGGACTCCTGTTCTTTAGAGGGAGGGTTGGTGGACGATTCAAACGGTTAGCCTTAAGATGTATTAAATCTCTTTTCAGTGTTTCTATCAAAATGTAGCTTCGGATTCTATAAAATGAGAATAGAACCACTAGTCTTTGTACATTAATTTATAACTGAGATCAGGTCTTATAAAACTATATTTAGTTAGTGAGAAGCGCTTTAGTCTATGTATACACCCATTTAGTGGAAACCGGGAGTTTATTTTTATAGAAATTAATAGCGGAATGCAATGTTTGCCAATATTGGAAGCACTAACAATCGATACTAACCGAGACATTAGGCTAAGCAGTACAAAGGGATTGCTCAGTGAAGATTTACAGCAAACCAACTCACTTTAAATAAAGAGGCTTTCCTTAATACATCACTGAAACTTCAAGGGTGAGAAGAAATTTCTCTAGAGTAATTTCAAGCCGACTTGTCACCTTTAGAGCGACGAAATGTTTTAGAGCTCATCTTCATAATCCATGAATTAAATTTTAAAGAATGTGAAAAGTAAGTTCATTTGGAAAAAGGCGATGAACCCTATACTGGGTGTATAGGGTTCAGATGCCAATTTATCTACTACACAAAAGCAAACCGTCATAAATGATTAATAATAAGCAACTAAAATGGCTAGGAAGTGTACCGTGTGAATATCATTCGGTATTGAACTGAGGCACAGACTTACTTGAAATTCATTCAAGGGTACCAACTAAAGAATCCTCAAAAGCATTTTGAAAATATGAGCTGTTTTCCGATTCGCTTTGCTTCTAAAGTTAAGGAGCCAGTAAGTACAAGGTCAAAACTATTGAAATATGAAACATAAGGCAACGATGTTTATTTGCTACGCGAGGTCTGCGCCGTTAATTGTGGTGAAATTAGGGTTAGCATTTTCTTTCAAGAAGGTAGGTGACGAAAGTCATCCGAGTGTGGGCATAAAACTCCACAGAGATAGATTTAAAAGATATAAAAACTATGGTTTTTTGCTTTGCAAACAACCTACATATTTGTCTGTTACCATAAGTACATTTTAATAAACGCTACTGCAATATTATGAAATTATCACAACACTAAGCCACTCAATAAACGTTTATATAATACCATTAAATTCAGTTACCAAGTTTCTAATCTTTCTGACTTTATAGGCTATCAAGATTAAGCCGTTTTGTAATACTTGTTTCCCAACTCTTTATGCTATATATTATAATTAAAATACCACAAAGTTGTATACTCCATTAAGAGGATGCTTCTCTCAATCGGTCACATAAATTCATTAACCTTTTACACAATTATCTGATTGTTTAAACCAGAAATTTTATCGTTAGCTGTAAGTATTTAAGAACATTTTAGTCCATCTGACTATTCAAGTTTCAAATTGATTAAAAACGTAAGTTTATAACTTTCATAAAAGAGCCGCATTTTTATAAGATGCTTGATTTATTGAACCTTTTTTACACATTGATGTATAAAACTGACTAGCTAGGACCATTTTACTGCACAATCAATCCGATAAGTATACCCCGACTAAAGAAAAGCACGTAGAAACTAAACTCAAAAGGAGTGACGAAAATCTTCGGCCACTCTAAATCTTCTTTAAGGAAACGGCGTAAGAACAATTGCACATTATTGTTTTGCAGTATTTGTACTGATTTGTAAATGCTTTGTACATGTCCAACCTGATTGTTTACATTTAAAGATTTGATACCATATGTGTTTCTGCGTTTTGCCACCTCAGAGTTACAGTCTATTCATAATGCCTAGTTTTTTAGAAAAAATTTGGGGTTCCTATTTTTTCAGCTACAAATAACGCTTATTCATGAATAAATTATTTTTGTTTACTTGTAAACACGAAATCATTTGTTTGATTATATATTACTCTCACGTAATAAAAAACCGTAAAAAAATTGAAATAAAAAGATAAACTACATCTTTAAGTATGAAAAGTAGGTTATATATCTTTTCATATTCTGAGTTGTCAGACGAAGTGGAAAGTTGTCCTAAGAAATATTTGTGAAAGAGAATCAGAAAAAGATTGTAAAACCGATAATTTCTGAGAGTGGATGTTGTTCGGTATACGCTAAGCCATAGACGGAACTAGAACGTAGTTAGAGGCTTTCAGTTCTTTGAAAAATGTAATGCTCACCGACCGAACTTTCATGCTCAACATAAAGTTACACATACGTTCATCTAAACTTTATTTTTTCCAGATTTTTTGACGTCGAAATCGCTAAAAAATGCTAACTCAGAAAACACATTCTATCACTTATACAGTCTAATAAACATTCAGACATTATGGTAAAAGCCACAAAGGTACGGCTCATTAACCTCAACAAACTTTAGAGCAAGACAAGATCAAAACTTGATTGATCAAACAAGACACAGAAATAGACTTCTACAACTATATATACCAAAAAGTAAGCACGTTCTGTATACCGTTAAATATGCATAGTAAAGTACGCAAACCCCGACTGGGGAGATCAGAAATTGCTTATTGGTTTATTTAGTCTTAACTTTGAAATGCGAACCTGTGCAAACGATTGCACACCAAGTCTAAGAACTTCGATTTTAATTCACCTGTTCGCACTAATATCCTACTTAATTGCAGGTAGGAAAAAACATCTCAACATCCTCCATGAAAATTATCTCTTCAGAATTGATTAATGCACGCAACAACGCATGACAAAAGAAGCTGAAAAATTCTATTTGACGTACGATCACCATTGGGTTAATATTTGAAAGTCCGCCAGAAAACAAAAATTGACTGTCATCATATGTTAGTATATTAAAACAAGTACTGCGCAATCACTTCTAGTAGACGTTTTACCTTCACAGGGTGCGCTCACTTTGCATGCAATGAAATTTAGTCACTTGCTCATAGTGCATGTATATTTATATGTGTTCTTTATCCATGACCTAAATTAATATAAAAAAATTTTGTTTCGTAACTGGCACTAGAAATCAACTGAAATACTGTTTCCGTATACATTATAGTGGAATGATTACTTATTCTAAGATATTTAGTTTGCTGTTATTCTATTCTCGTAGCCTTAAAAATAGCAACTTTAATTGGAAGAAAAACCATGTTAATTTGATGAGTTTACTTTTAAATTTGCAGAAAAGTTGGACTTCTAAATAAACATTATGTCATCAATTGTCTTTAAACTGAACTCTTTGATTTAGGGAGCCTTGTATCAAGAATGATGTCAAATTTTAAAATTGCAAGAAGTTAAAACCCTAATTGAGTAATTGTGAAAAATTATTGACGTAAGGTGGTCTGATGATAGTTTCTCGGAGCTCTCAAACCTTTGTTTTCTAACGGTAATTACAAGGGTCGTAGGTCATTTTAAAACAAGGAAACAATGTGCTGAAGATTATTCATGTTCAGTGAAAACAAAGAGTACTTTGAAGTCACTCTTCCGATGACGAACTCATTGCTATATGAAGTAGTTTGTGTGCCTAACTTCTCAATATTGCCCAAACGTCTTCTTGTGGCTCTGGCAAGTTAATCCCATTGGAACTTTCAGATTCAATTCTCACAATCACCTAATCACCCCTGCACAAACGGTTTACTTTAAGTGGTATGAAATAAAAACTTAATTTTATGTAGGTTATTGAATACTATGTTGCTCTAAGTAAAATTTACTGGAATTAATTTAAATACACGTTGTCCCAATTAACCCACTATACTAGTACTTAAATAGCAAGTCATTTTATCGACCTCTTGAAGGTGTCTGTGAAGTCACACTTGTGAAACCTGTCAGAAGGACCTGAAGAACTTCAACATAGCCTTCACTCAACGAATTGACGTACCAAAAAAGATTAAATGTGTTATGATACTGTTCCGAATTTCTCTCAGGTCTTCTTGTACCATTATTTTTCCCTTCAACTCAATAATACCAGCAGTGGCAAGGATCACAAAGTGAGTCTCTGCAAGTGTTGAAGCACAAAAGAAATTCCAATTTTGAAGACATAAAAATTATGTTCTTATTTGTAAGACATCAATTCAGTGATTCTGTAGAGTCTATAAAGTCTATAAAATCTAAACAAAATTGTCCCTACTTTTGCACACACAAATCGTTCTAAGTTAGGCAAGTATTTTGTGAGTTCCATAAACCCTTTCTGCTTGTTTCTGTGTAATAATTAGAAGTATTGAATTATAGTACAATCTAGGAATCCCAGGGTTAACTTGATCTAACCAAGAAGTAATAAATGAGCAAAAACGAACGTATTGTATTTTGAATTCCAAATAAATCAGTCATCAAGTACAAAGAAATCGTTAGTTCATACAGACTCCATATACGCCATACCTTAAGTTGGAGTCTAAGTGTCTGTCCGACAGCGCATTAAATAAATACTCTGTATTATCTAGAATGGACTCATTAGTATTAGAGTTGGCAGTCAAAATCGGAATGAACTCACCTGGTTCTTGTAATGGCATTTAATCAACATGTCGGTTGTGTATACTGAAGTCATGAATATCTAGAATTCTCACCATAGATTCCCCTGCATTCTTCACCATAATCCTCGTAGCTGGTCGAAGATAATTTCCACTCTAATTTATTACTTCTGAAGACTCCAAACACTTCATATTCGAACGAAGAATTCTTCCTTTTAATAGCTTTGATGAAGTCTCTTTCGATACAGAATGTTTAGCGTTTCTATACTGCAGTAGAAATGTATCCACTCTGTTATATCTGGCCGATTGTTAACGCTATATTCGCTTCCCCAAGCTAGTTCCGTACCCCCGAGCTAGAACTATACACCGCGACTTGAAGACCAGAGAAAAGGCACAAAGTACGTGGGAAGCACTTTACTACAGGGTTTGTTTATGTACAGAAAATACAGGGATTTTATAATAATTAACAGACCTTGAGTTTACATAGTAACAGTGTGTTAATCAGTCAATCAAGATCTCGTTATTTTAGTAACATAGCTTCTAATTAATCGCTGATTGGCTGAGTCTCTTTATGAGCCTCTGGAGGCTCTGATGGAGTTCTCCTGAAGCCGACTCAACACACTCATCCCGCCAGTTTATTAAATGTTGAAGAGCCAATACAATCAATAGCAGTTTCCTTCGTCAAATTTTCTGCCTGAGCATTAGAACAAGGGTGCCTGAGAGCAGTAAACAGATGTCTGCACCCTATACAATTCAACCAGGTGGTGACTGCATCCCCAGCGAAATGAGATCCATTATCAGTCACTAACACCATGAGAAGCACTTTGTAAGATCCACTTCGAAGGTTTTGTGGGTGAAAATCCCTCCATGCATACATTTGCAACTTGTTCTTATTATTTTCTTCAGTTGCACATTTTGTCACTCTTTTTGATGCCAGTTGAAATGGTAATATCTTATTTCATTATAGTTTTCTCTTTTTTCTTTCGCTGTCACTGAGTTTTTATGTTTCTTCCCGAACTGTATTGATGTTGTTTTAGTTGACACTCAATCTTGGCGGCAGCCATATTTGTTGTTCACTCTTTGATTTTGTGGCTGGGTTGACTGGAATTGTGCATTCTGTTTGTTAACTCAAGCACTTGTCCAAAAACGGAAACACTTTGTGTTATCAAGCAACAAACTATTGTCTTTTGAACAGTTTTTTACTTGATCTATCCAGAAAGGGTGGAATAACATTTGTTTTTCAGTGCTTTGGGTAACTTTCTTACATTCCATATCAATTTGTCTATTTGTTGTAATTTGGATCGATCATTGGGGGAACAATTATTAGTTGAATAATTGAGCGATAATATTTTTTTAGGTAATAATGTATTTATGATGAAATTTAGAACCGTTATTTCCTCAATCACCTTGTTCTGATTTCAAAGGGGTAATAGTGAGAGTTTAAACTTCGCAGGCGGTTATTCTACAGCCAAACCTTAATTTGTATTTTACACCTTTCTCGACGAAATAATTTTATTAGCTCTTGGATTGTGAAGTCAGATTCAAGTGAAGTGCTGAATGAAATTCAGGTCACTTCGACGAATCAATAGCAACAAGTGAATAGTATCTGCCAAGAAATGGACCACAATAGTTTGCATGAATTCCCTGCCTGGCCTCAAACATTGCTGGTCATGGGGTCAAATTCGAAGAATGAATTTTCAACTTATGACACTTTTCAAAATTTTTGCTGTGCGACATATATCAGCATTCATCTCTGGCCACCAACATATGAGACTTGACAAAGACTTCATTTTCTGAACACCTAAATATCTACTATGAAACTCACTAAGGACAGATATCCTTAATGATAGAGGAACACCAACACGATTATTTAGACACAAAATACCATCAACAGTAACGGACAAATCATCCCGCTTTAAAAAATAGACAGGAAATCTACGTTTCACATCAGCATTTCAACCTTTCCGTATAACACTGAAAATACATTCAAAGTATCTGCGAGTTTCTCCAATTAGATCTGGACGTCTCACCCGCACTGAAAATCAGTCTGACATTTTAACGGGTCTATCTTACAATGATTGTCGAGAAATGTAGTCAACTTGTTGAAATTGATTGGCACTTTTGTGCTGAACTGTGTAGTCAAAAGCACTCAAAGCAATACTCCATCGTTTAGTCATAGCAGTTGGGGAACGTGGTACGGATTTTTAGGATGATAATTGAAATTAAAGGCCTCGTGATCAGTAAAATAGTGAGTTTCCTTTCAAATTAATACTTATGAAATATTTAGATGACCCGAAACACAGGTAATGCTCCCCACTGAGTTTGTGAATAACCTTGTTCAGTAACAGTACGTTTGCGTGAAACACAGATACTTGGTTTACCTTCCTGTTCGAAAACTGCATCAATATTCATAGGTGATGCATCATTAATAAGTAATGAGTGTACACTTGATAAACAATTTCGAAGAACGGCATTTTTGAAGAAAATTCAGCAGACTTCGCAAGCATGACTCTTATTCCTCACCCCATTTAAGTGAGTCGAATGACAAAATATTAAATAAACAAATGGCACGACGAGTAATCGGGAATATTGTTGAGGTGCACCCACTAGTGAACGTATTTCTGCAAGATTTTTTGGAGACGGTGCATTTATCAGTGCAGCTAGTCGTTTCATATCTGGTCTAAAACCATTACCATCAACTAGGTATACAAGCCATTCGAAACTAGATACACAAAATGAACACTTATTTGAACTTACTGCAATATTCTTCTCAACTAAACGACGCAATAAAGCAATAACTCTCTGAACAGTAACTAGCTTATGAAATGGAAGATGACTTTTACAGAAAGTTCTCATAGCTTGTTCAAAAAGCTAAACGCTGAGACATAGTACTCGTAGCAGGTAGCTTAAACCAAACAGAAAGACATTTAGGTGAGTATTTTGGTATTCCGGTTCAGCAAACAGATAACGGTGATCGTCTGTTGCAAATATGCTTAGACAATCGTTTATTTCTAGCAAACACTAATTTTAAGCATAAGGAGAATCATCGGCTAACATGGCAACCACCTGCACCAAACCAAAGATGGACTCAAATATACCATATTGCCATCAGTCATCGTTGGAGGGGCTCGATAGAAAACTGAGTATGTTTTCATACAACCGTATGAAAGTAAATGTACTAGAGTTTCAGGAGCTAACATGTATTCAACTTACAATATAGACACAGTAAAGTAAGTAAAAACATTTTGTGAATAATAGTGAGAGTATATGAACAATCGAGTCAGCTTCGTTCGCCTGTGAATACCGAACAGTTTAATTATTGACAATAGATAAGCTCAAAGTCCTAACT